TTGCGCGTTTACCACTAAAAAGACCCCATTTACTGTAGCTCCAAAGTTCCAGGACATTCCCCTTAAGATCAAACAGAGCATTGGGATCCTTGGGGTTGACATAGCGAACGACGTTCAATTCCGGAGTCATTTGGAGGACAAGGCTAAACTAGCATCAAAAAAACTAGGGGTACTGAGTAGAGCGAGGCAGTACTTCACACCGGGACACTTGCTTTTGTTATATAAAGCACAGGTTCGTCCCCACATGGAGTATTGTTCTCACCTCTGGTCCGGTGCCCCACAGTACCAACTTCTTCCACTTGACTCCATACAACGTCGGGCAGTTCGTATTGTCAACGATCCCATGCTCACAGACGATCTAGAACCCCTAAGTCTCCGAAGGGATGTAAGCTCCCTCTGTGTGTTCTATCGTCTGTACAATGGGGAATGTTCCGAGGAACTGTTTGATGTAGTGCCATCGTCTACATTCCACCATCGCACTACTCGGCGTAGGGTTGGATTTCACCCACATCATCTGGATGCATTCAGTTGCAGGACTGTACGTGCGTCGCGATCATTTTTTTCACGCACGTGCAGGATGTGGAATGATCTTCCGCCCGAGGCTTTTCCAGAGAGCTACAACATGGGGTCTTTCAAACATCACGTGTTCAGGTGGCTCCTTTCCAAACAAGGCCGGCAACGCATCTACAACACCCCTTGTGTTGCAGATGTCCATGGGCGACGGTAACCACTTACCATCAGGTGGGCCGTCCGCTCGCTTGCCCCTTTGGGCCATAAAAAAAAAAAAAAAAAAAAAAAAATACCAGAAGGTTAAGTTTATGGACGATGAAAGTCTTCAAATATTCAATGATATTAATTAACTTGGGCTACTTGTCTTAAATAGACATATTGCACATATAAAAACCATAACAATGTTAAACGCAGTGTCAAGAAAAACAAAAAATACCCGATGCTGTTTTTGAGAATAAATAATATGAAAGAAGAAAAGTAGGGAAAGAGCTGTGGCAACAACAGCAGTCAAAGTATCAAATAAAGGAACCAAAGATTACGTGTTGCTTAACGAGGTAGACCAGTGCAGATGCCTTTAAAAACAATGAAAAGTGAAAATAAATTATAGTAGAAAGAAACTCATTAGAAAAGGAGGGGAATATTATAAAAATTAAAAATAAATAATTTACGGGCGATCTGAGGTCGGGAAGGGTATAGGGATGGGTATTTAAGGGTAAAAAACTATTTTCCGATGATGAAAAAAAAAATATAAGTTTCTTACTTGCAGTACCATTTTTGGATAAAATAATCATGTCCCTTTTAATGAAATGAGGCTCGACGTCGTTTGTAAAATGCTCTTTCAATTTATTTTTAACTAGCTTTTGCCGCGACTGCGTCCGCGTGGAATAGTGACTTCCGGCAGATTTTTGGTTCTTCCCACATACATAGTTCCCGTTCTTGCGGGGTTTTCGGAATGGTCGAACTCCCGTAGAATTTTCAGGATAAACCCTAGTTTTTTTTTATTCACAATGAAGTACTCTTAACCAACAACATATTTATTTCTTTATTGAATAAAGATTGATATTATTATGTTGATACAACTTAAACAAATTATTTCGACCAAATTAGGTACCATAAAAACGGTTATTGTGAGTTAATCTTAAAAGATAGACATATACTGTCGCGGACTGTTTTTTAGATCATAAAAAGAGCTATTATTCTTTAATACATACTTTTTGTGTATCTTGAACCGTTTTCACGGCGCACGCAACGGAAGGCTTTAAAGATGAACTAATTTCTCCCGTTTTTTACACATTTACCACTATATCTTTGCTCCTATTGGTCGTAGCGTGATGTTAAATAGCCCACAGCCTTCCTCGATAACTGGACTATCCAACATAAAAAGAATTATTCAATTCGAACCAGTAGTTTCGGAGATTAGCGCTTTCAAACAAACAAACAAACAAACAAACTCTTCAGCTTTATAATATTAGTATAGATAGTTTTAGCAGCTTAATGTCAATTTACTGTAAATTACTTAAAAGAGGGACTATCTGGAGAAATTCCAGAGTATACAACTATTATTTTTTTCTTCACTATTGGAAAATAGAGATTTCAATTAATAGAAAACAAACCAAATTTTTGAAAAAAGCTGACATTTTGATGGGCGATTTTTCGATTGAATATAAGGCTAATTTTTCGGTATTTATTCAAAACTAGTTTTTGCCCGCGACTTCGTCCGCGTTAATTTCGTCATTAGTAATATATGTATAGCTGACCGGGTGAATTCTATTCCATCTTAAATAACCAGGTATTGGTATTTATTAAATTTTTCCTGTTTCAATCAAACAGAATGATTGACATATTAGTTAGTTGTCAAATCTAATGTCAAAAAAAACGTTGTATGGGAAATAGAAAAGGGCTGTTTTTAAGGTTTTCCCGGCAATTATTCCAATTTTTCTCACCTTTTAAACTTTCCCTGGACTTCCAGGAGTATTTCAAGACTAAAATTAGCCAAATCGGTTCAGCCGTTCTCGAGTTTTAGCGAGACTAAGGAACAGCAATCCATTTTTATATATATAGAAGATAAGCTGAAAAACTAAATATTTTTAATCAAAAAATTATAGTGCATTTGTAACATCAAAAGGAAAGTTTTTACTAAATTTCGTGACAAAAACTTGTTTTTTGGAAGAGATAAAAATAAAAAACCAAAAACTAGGTTTTCTGAATTTTTCACATAAATTTTGAGGTTATGTGAAAAAAATGTAAGTACAAAAGTTTTGGATCTTTTTATTACCTACAACTTTGGCATATATTTTTTTCCGTAGGACTTTTAGTTTTGTTGGAAATCGAGAAAACCCATTTTTTATCCTTAAATACCCACCCTCATACCCTTCCCGACCTCAGATCGCCCGTAAATTATTTTTCCTTTAATTTTTATAATATTCCCCTCCTTTTCTAATGAGTTTCATTCTACTATAATTTAATTATGTTTTAAAAGCTATCGGCACTGGTCTAAGGTGACGTGACATTTAAAACTAGCCTTATAAGAGATCGCACACACCTGCAAATCATTATATTGTGGAAACAATTATGACATCCCCATTGAAACTAGATTCAGCTTCCTAAAAATGTACATTCCTTGCTCAAAAAATCTGGAAGAGTGAAACTGGTCCGATAAACAGTAAAGTATTTGTTGTAAAAAGACTGCACAAGGATCAATTATTAAGTTTTGCTGTTTCTATTTCTAGAACTTTGGAATGGAATGGAATATTTGTTTTTTTTTCATAGACCTCTAAAAGGTTTTTGGCTGGATGAGGTAGAGCAGTATTTGTGCGGTACTTAATGAATATGGAGGTCCTAAAAATCAAAGGGTATGAAGATCTTATTTATTTCATTTCTCGACAGTTGTGCTAGAGAATCTTTTTAGGTTCACCTCTTTCATGAACATGTTTTTTTATAAACAATCCATCAGTTTATTACTGCAAGATCAAATAAATAAAAAAAAATATGCAAGTACCACTTTTAAGATTGTTATAGGATTATTGCCTAAAAAGCTGTCCATAAGATCTACTCCTCCCATGTATTTATTATATTCCTCAACAATAAAATAATAAATGGGTAACTAATATCAATGTTTTCTTTTTTTTCACATCTATGGACTTCTGTCACAGGCAATGCCCAAGCATAGGGTTAAATAACAGGGTTACTACCTTGTCTTTCCACGCTAAACAACTCATATCTATACCATCAAGTGAGGAATCTCTGTTTATAAACCCTGCGCACAGAGTTCTTCAAATCTTTTTTTCTGGCAGTTTATTATTTGAAATCCTGTTTTGTTGGACAGTTCTCAGTCTGAATTCCAGTTTAGCAAAAACATATAGTAACGGCAAAGAGGTATAAAAATTATCAAAATATAAGACATGGATTATCCTTATTGACACTCAGCGAAACAAACGATTACAACATTTTCTGTTTCATCAAGACCTGGTTCATCTGGGAGTTTTTTGAATTCTCTTGTCCAGAATATACATCGAAATAAAAAGAAAGTTTAATATTGCTTTTTCGGAGGGAATTATAAAATTAAAGAAAAATAATAATGTGTTTGTAATATTTATTGATATACAGTAGTAGTCGAACGTAGACGATGTACTGATGTATGGATGGTATGAATAACACGACACATATAATACACCAAGCGGGTGGCAACGGACAGTTACATAGTCACATATAATAAACATTTTTGGATTAAATGTTCTAACACTAGTCTATTAAAGCTAACATAACACGCTACGGCATAAATTAAACTATTTACAAAATTATACAAACACCAACAAATATAAAATACACGTTTGTTTAGGAGATATTAAATGAATGGGTCAGTGAGAGATGGATCTCATGGCACGATGAGTGAAAATGATGAGAACTATGAAAAACACTTACATCAGTAATGTTAACGGAAAACAATAAAATAACTGTTACACGAACATCGAACCTTATCATTATAATTACAATTATATATATACAAGTATATCAGATCAAACGAATGTTAGTAACACGATATATAGAATCTTTTCATACATTTATAAAAAAAATATATCAAATAAGGAATTATCATATGTTAGGGGGAATAACGTTCAGAATATTCGAATTGTTGATTTAAGTACATATAATGTGAGACTTAGATGTACTTAAAGCGATGATGAAAATTTTACAATGAGACGCGAACGACGGTCAACGAACTTAGAAGAATTCACTAAAAACATAATAGACTTCCACAAGTCGTTCGTGACTCAGAGAGTGAAACAAGGGAATAAAGAAAACAAAAGCGTGCAGTAATGAACTCAGACCGGCTGAGTCCAGAGACGTCTTGTGAGACGGGAGTGACGTCACAAGATGACGTCATCACCGCTCTAATTTAAGTGCTGGGGTAAGGAGTGATGATGATGTTTAGATTAACGTATCGTCACGTATAGTCATAATCGATGTAGCGACTCATAGTCTTGTATATATCAGACGCAGGAGTACTTGTCTCCGTCGTCAGAGCTGTAACATTGGTGACAGTGGAGACTTCGCCCCCGCACGCGCACGTCAGCCCCCACACGCCCGTCCCCCAGCGGAGCCCCGCACGCCGAGCACGAGAAGCACCACACGTGGTAACATAGGGATAGAGACTCGATGATCATGGCGGCGCCGCGACCTGGAACATGTAACACACGCCTTTATATATATACTAGAAGACCCGGCGAACTTCGTATCGCCCTATAATCAAGAAATATCTGTTACGTTTTTTTATTTATATTTTTGGAGTTTACCTGGACATATTAGTTGGTTGTCAAATCTAATGTCAAAAAGCAAACGTTTGTATCAACCACTACAAATAAATTAAAAATTAATTAAAAAAACATTGTCCAGCGGACAAAATTGTGAATCTAAACAATTGTCAGATCCCATTGAATACACACAAAAAATTTCATCAAAATCGGTCCAGTCGTTTGAGAGAAGTTCAGTGACATACACACTCACAGATGAATAATATATACTATATATAAAGATATTGTTGTTATTTATTGTTGGGAGTGACAGACATTCAAATATGATAGTCAGTAGCATACTAATTGCTGTATGCAAAGATAGAAGTTACGCGAGATGCCCGCTACCATAGACAAATATATAAAGTTTATATAAATTGATGAAATTGAGTCAGTGGTTTATATTTTTTTTATTGATAGATGAATTATTGAAGCGTTTCATTAAATTAAACCTCGATCAAATTAAGTTTTTGGCACGGAAATGAATTCAACACAATAATATCAGTTATGTTATCCAGTTGACGTGATAGTGTGTTAAGTGACGTCATACATAATGAAACCTCTATCCCGTGATCCCGCGGGAACTACAATGAAATCCGGGATAAATTCTTCTAATGTGTGTCAGACACTACAGTGAGGTTTTATCGAAGTCCATTTAGTAGTTTTTGCGTGCTAGAGCGGCAAACGTCTGTATAAACTTTTCCATACTTTATATGTTATATGGTGTGTGTGTGTGTTAAGCCCAGTCCCTCACCCAGTTCGTCCCCGCAGTGTGAGCACCTCCTGCGGCCGCTCACGCTCAGCATCTTGTCCTCTCTATAGTCTGGTCGTCGCTCGCTGAGCTCCACGCTGCGGCCTTGAGGGATCACTTGGCTGTCAAATTATTACATTCCCTCGATAACACATACATATGTTTTTAAACAAAAATATAGCATACTCATATACAATGTGCTGTATTGACTCATGTTAAATGCTGAAATTAACTAGTGTTCTTTTGTATAATATCACAAACACGCCTTATTGTTAATATTTGTCTTATCTGTGTAACATATTATACCTATCACTAGTACATATAACTCACGAGTTCGCGTAATGTGTCATGTGAGGTGCGTGTGAAGTGCGGACACCGATCGACCGTGGGTCCCCACCCAACAGTCGTGTGGCGTCACGTATTTCCCGGTCCGTCATTTTAGTGACGTCACGTATGTCCCGGTCCGTCATGTTGGTGACGTCACGTCCGTACCGTCCGTCCCGCACGTTCGGTACACGCTGCTCCTGTATGCGACGTTGCTCTGCTTCCTGAAGACAATATGTTCAAATATTACTAATACAACTAATTGCATGTTGCGTTCAGAATGATAGACATTTGATATAGTTTAAGCTACTGAACAATTTCTTTACATTTAAAGATGTTACTGTTGTATTACTGTTTTAGTGTCCAATTCACCTTATTCAAGATTATGTAACATAGTTAATATAATAGTTGCAGTAATAACATACTTACACTTTGATTCCCTATAAAATTTTTATAAAACTATACAAAATTGTTTAAAAGAATAATAAAATTTATGTTATGGCTTTTTTGTTAACATGTATTTATTTCTTTAATTGTGATTTTAATTGTTCCTATGCATTTTATTTGTAAACTTTTTTTTATCTTTTTTGCGAACTTTGTACTTTTTATAAAATTATTCTATAGTTTTTTAAAGTAGACTTATTTAAATTTGTGTGCATGCGGAGTTTACCTTTAAGTAGTTGTTACACTGTACCCTAGATTTTTGATACCTATTTTACATTGTATTGGTGTAAACAATTGTTGGTAAACCTATTAAAATAAAATAAATATGCAGTATGTGTTTCTTAGTGACCTGTATCAGCCAGTGTTGGTTATAGTTATAGTTGTTTTGTTTCTGCCTGGGTTGAGGTCTGGCTTGCATCCACTCGGTGTTGGAGATCAGCTTGGGAGTGGGCGCCGCGCTCAGCACCTGGAATAAGAGGAGGGTAGGATGACATAATATGACGATAAATCTGACGAACAATCTGCTGTTAATATTATATTAATAAGCATTCACAAATGAATAACGATTTCCAGAAATAACATGTTTTAATTTAGGAATATTTACGTATTAACCGATTTTTGTTGGGTTATATTTCATAATATTTTGATGGCATGTCTTTAACTCTGTGATCGCTAGATTACGAAATCATAGTTTGATTCTAATGTTATTATATATAATCTCTAAAATATAGTTTTAGTTTAACATAATAACATCACATCAATCATCAAAATAGTATGACATATAAATACATCTGCTTATAGCAACTCCGCCTGTCTGTTTATTGAGCTAAGTGTTCTCGTGTATGTATATATGTATGTATGTGTATGTACCTGTAGCGTATGTCTGGACATAGGGTGGTAGTTTCGTCCGTTTGCGTATCTTTCCGGGGCTCGCGTTCCTCGTGGGCTGGGGGTCTGAACACACTCCACGGCAGACGGGACGCGACTACTCCTGAAACAGAACAGAAGAATTGGAAATAAAACATTTGATGATCACTTATATCATATAAGGAAGGTTAAGAAAAGACGAAGAAACATCGATAAAGGTAATAATGTTTCAGATTGTTTCTTTTAGTACTTGTTAATGATGGCAATATGAATGCGACCTGATTTGATAACAATGTCTGGTGTGGGTCATTGGTAGCGTTGTTTATCCCACGGTAAAGCCTGCCTATTAAACTACTATATAATGGTCCTCACCTCATAGTAATCTCCCTCTCTATGGAGTCCCTGCTTCTTGGTTTGGGAGGCAGCACAGGTTGCGGGGGTCTAGTTAGTCCGGTCGCTGGTCGCTTATCATCAAACAGTATCTTCCTGCTCTCCTCCACTCCGAAGTGACTCTGTATGTGTTCTTCGGACACGAACGGCTTCCTCTTGATATTTTCTTCCATAATAGTCCTCTCTATGACGCGGGGCGGTTGTTCGACCAGTAATAGATTGGGCATGGAGTGTCTGTAGTTCTGGTTCTTGCCTTTAGCTCTGTGTACGACGTTCTTATCGGTACTAACAGCGGTGGAGATGTCTTGAACGGACTTCTGTATGATCCTGTTCTGGTCCCGCAGCAGGTTCTCCCTCTGCCGCCTCAGTTCCTCTTGTTCTAACTGCAGCAGCTCTCGTTCAAAGCGCAGCACCTCCTGTACAGTCAATGTTTTAGTGTCGCCTCTGTTAGCCTCCTCGTGATTAGTTCAAAGCGTGCTATGAATGGTTTAATGTATTATTTACAGTATGTTATAGTCGTGACGTCATTACCTTCGTGTGAACATCGTCATAGATCCCGTCCGGACAATCTTCGTTAGTGCGTTTCTGTAACAGCCCGCCGGCCATCTTGTTTAATGTTATTTACAAATGGTTGCTTTTGAAACTATTATATACAACAGTGTAATCATATTCTACAGATCTATTTACACATATTTCTTGTGTTATAAACGACAACGTCTCGTTAACATGTTGTTATGGTGATTATTATGGAAGGAAACCGAAAAATATATGCAAATATCTGTAAAAATGTATATATCTTTTATTACTATATGTGACTTGAAGATTTAAAAAACTTTAAGTTTCTTTTTAGGAAATATAATAGTTTCAATTAATTAATGCAAGTGTCAAAAACAAAAAAATCATTATGAAATGTGTTACAAGCAACAGGAATAAAATAAGTGCATTTATAAGGTACCGTGCAAATAAAAGGCTGTATATATAATGAAATAAATAATATTTATTTATGATTCATACAGAAGTAAGACTAAAAACTAATCATAGCATCTGTGATAGAAGAATTTCTATAAGTATAATAAAAGCATTAGCAAGCAGTATTTGTTACAGCGGATCATAACCGAAATATCTGTATACTAACTAAAGGAACTAATTAAAGTTACATTCACTTACATTATGTTAGAGTTACAAGCTTCACCGACCCTTAACCGACTTCAACCGAGCGGAGTGTGTTACAATAACATCATTAATATATATATATATACAACAGTACAGTGTGTATGTCTGTGACATTCGAGAAATATCTCACTAAAGTTCTACATATATAATCAAAATATATATACATTTGTAATCATCGGATATATTATTATAGTATAGCGTATCCAAGCCTCCAGTATATTAATTCCATTTCATATTCAGTCGGAGCTCACCTGCTGTTGTTGTATTTTCTTATCCAAGTGATCTATTTTATTATCTTGAGTTTCACCATTTTCAGTCAAGCCGGACAGTTTAGTTGTTAAATCCTTTGAGAACGCTTGTTCTGATTTTTTCGTCGCCTCTTCTTCGTCAGATGTAACGGTCATTTGGTAAGGCTGGAATAATTTACAAAAATAAACTGACAATTAATTTAATATTATTGATTACTATTCCTATAAGTTGTTTTCTATAGTCCAACAAGTAATAGTCACTTCACACTTGTTCAGAATATGTAACTTTGAAAGATAAAGTATCATTTGAATTAGACGATAGCGATAAGAACGATGAAGGATAATTGTGTCAATTAAAATATTGAGATATAATTAAAAGAAGTTGCCTAACAACAAATGTAAATAAATGAATTGATAAGTTGCATAATGTTTGGTATGATAAGGGCGTGCACAGAGATTTAGATTAGGATAAGCAGAATGTTAAAAAAAAAAAACAACAATTTATTAAATACTAGTTGCGCCCCACGGTGTTACCCGCGGATTTCCGGGATATAAAGTAGCCTATGTGTTATTCCTGGACGTCAGCTTCTTGTATACAAAATTTTATCAAAATCGGTTCAGCCGTTTGAGCGTGAAGAAATAACAAACATACAGACACACTCACAAATATTGCAATTATAATATTAGTAGGATGAGTAACAATTAAATAATATAGGTTTAATTGTTGTATGAGTAGGGTGTGCAGTGCTTATTAGTATTTATAGTGTATAAGCCACTGGTGTATGATCATATGATGTATAGTGTATCGTACCTCACTGTTCTGTCGGCTGTGCGGGCTCGAGGTGTCTGGCGAGGAGTGTCCTTTGTACCAACTCTCCGTGCCTCTGTCCACATCCACGCCCGAGTCCCGACTGTCCCTCAACTTCGCGTTATCATGGGATAAAGTCTTTCTGTACAGAAGCTTCTCGATTTTCGTCTCCTCTTGTAGGAAGGAAGTGATGTCGGGTCGAGGTGATAGTTTAAGATCGACATCTAGATAGCTGTCGTCTTGACCCTCGAGGCCTAGGAAACTGGTTCGCTTGTTCCGAATCTCTTTCTTGATGCGGCGAGCAGAGCTTGTGTGCTTGAAATTACCCTTTAAGTAATATGGTTAGTTAGTCCCTGGCAGATATTTAAATATTTATATTAGATTTAATAGTGGAAATATTGTGCAAGAATTATTAGTTAGAAAAGATAGGTTCGTCAGTAATAGCAGAGTGTTATCTTTGCACGTGATAGTATTGTTTAAGTGCAATAAATCTTCATAAATCTATGTTAATGTTAATATATAGATGAATGTAAACAGCCATACATTTCCTAGCAGTTCGTCGGGGCCGTCTTCCGTGGGCGGCGGCGGAGGCTTCTCTTTAGGAGGCTCGAGAGCATTGGTCGGCAGATCCAGAGGGAAATCGCTGGACTCAACCAAGTTCTGATTAAATATATCGATGTTTTCATACAACGGTGTCACTGATACTTTCTTGTTGACGTCGAAGTTCAGCAAGTCATCGACGTTATCAGTAATCTTAGCGTCACCGGCGGCGTTGCTTTTATTATCGTCCATAGCGACTTCGACGCTTTCCTCAGAATCCAATTCCTGGAATGCTAGTTCTAAAGCGTCTAAAACCTGTCGAATAAACGATTACGTAAACATCACATCATATACACGATAAATAAAATAAAGCTTAACACAAAATAATCAAAATAAAAGAAACGATCATGCTTTCAAGCGACACGGAAATTATCACAAAATGCTGGCAGAAATGCGTGTTAGTAACAAGCGTCTACGTATAGCTTACCTGATTAACCCATCACCAAAGCTGATGAAATGTCCTATTAAGGAGGTGTTCGATATATTCAATGATGAACACTATACGGAGGTGGCCGCGGAACTACCGCTCACCTCGCTGAGGTGTCGTGTAACGAGCTCAAGATAGGGGCCAGTTTGTTTAAGATAATACGACTAATGCTGATAAACGTTATTATTACACTATGCGATACATGATTTCCTACATATAAACTGTCTTATCATAATTGAATGGTATGTTAATGAGGTATATATCAATAGATTACATAAATAAAACCCATATAACAGTTTAACATATATTTCGATATTGAATTTACAGATATCACGACATGTATAATCTACGATAAGTATTTTCTACACTGATCACTGAATACTACGATGGATACACTAGGAGGGTTCTATGTACACCCTGTATATAAACTAGGCACTATAATATTCCGCCAGTTATCAGTTTTGATATGGTTTTTTTTGAATTTAGCACACACATTTCAGGTGCAACATAAAATGGTCTAAGATAATGAGTTAATTAAAGTTACGTGATATATTACTATTGAATTAGTGTAAGGGAGTGGGGGGAACGGTGTTGTTTAGTCTCAGAGACGTGAGCCGTGAACCGGCATACAAATAAAGAGATCAAAAAGTTCTAGAAAACTACGCCCATAACGGATATTCTCATATAACTCGCACACTGAGCGATGTATGAGGACACGTATCGGCGACGATCCGACCCTATAAACTTTCAGTTAACCGAGTCTTCGCCTTTGTTAACTTTATTTGTTACGGTTGTTACTTTATTATTTATGAACAGTATTGTTTTCCGTCTGTTCGGTTCTACACATCTCTTAGTACGTTTTTGCCAGAACGGATTAGAGTCTTGTGAGCTACTTACCACTTTATTACAGGGTTCGGGATGGGTGGTGTCCGGGGTCTGTACACAAATATGAAAACCATGATCCGTATGGGGCGGGTCGGTGTACGGAACACCTTCGCTAATGTTACGAGAGTGCATCGATGAGTCGTCAATGTTAACATCACTGTGAAGCGTGTCGCTAGATGCTTTAGTGTTAGTTTGTAATGGTCTGGAATACTTGGATGAGATGTTAGTGGTGGTTGTTATGTTAGAGACAGTTACCATGCCCTTGTTAGTCGCCTCGTTAGCTACATTGTTAGTGTCACAGTGTCCGGCCCCACAAGTGTTGCGCATGTCGTTCAGGTTCACGTGAATGGTCATCTTCCCCTGGAACACGACCGTGTCGCCCTCGGAAGCGGTGGACGCGGGTTCATTGAGACTTACACTGGAGTCCTGATTGTCCAGACTCCTCAAAGTATCTTCGTCTTCTTTGTCTATTTGTATTTCTGTTATTTCCGTGGCGCTGCTTTCTTCTGGTTGAGACACTGCTTGGAGATAATTGCTTCCACTATCACTATCTTCGTCCTCGTTTCCTTGAACTTCATCCTTCCTCTGATACGGCTCCGAGTCAATCCCGATGGGTTTCTCAGTTTTAGTGGGTTCTAAAGTCATCATGGTGTCGTTGTACTCGTTGGACGACTCGTATTCAGATACTTCAGCCATAGGTTCTCCAATGGGAGAAGCTACTTGAGTCAAATCTGCAATATCGTCAGCTGGTGCACACGAGTCTCTGGCTGTATGGATCCCACTATCCTCAGTTTCAATGTCACTCGGAACTGTATTGTTTTGCATTTCGGCGCAGTCAAAATCTTCTAAACTTTGGACTCTGTCGAAAGAATTAGGAGACGACTGATCATTAATATCTAAGCTATCGAGCGAGCGGCAGAAGCTTTGCATCTGATTTTCTATTCCAGCCAAATTAAGTTTTAGTGAACTGTTTGACAGTTTATCTTTTAATTCACTGTGTTCAGTCTGTTCTGGGATCTTATCGTCGCTCATAATTTCTGCTTCGATTGCAATTTTTGGTATTTCTTTATTTTTGGCAGCATCAAGGCAGGACAAACGTTCTTTGATGCTCATTGAAACCTCTTTGACCTCAGTTTTTGTGACCTTAACTTCCTCTTCTGATGTCTGTGACTTCAAGCTCGTCAAACGCTCTCTAAGAGACTTTGAATTACTGAGGTCTCCATTAGACAATCTCTTATTTTTTTCTGTGTCTACATTAGTTGATTTAACCTTTTCGAGTGAACTAAGTCTATCTTTCAGGGGTTTCACTTCCACGGGTAGTTTAGCAAGGTCATTAGTTGACTTCTGAAGTTGGATATCTTCATTGAACTTTTCTAAACAAGACAATCTCTCCTTAATCGACCTTTTATTTGCGATTTCAGGCACTTTGGGTTTTGACAATTGCAACTCTTGTGAATTTTCCCTTTCGAATTGTTCTCTTCGTTTATGTATATCGACTTTAGGCAAATCTTTTTTCTGATTATTATTTTTAAGATCATTAGCCCGTTCCTGTTGAAACGACGAAACTTTTTCTTCAATCTTGTTGCTGACCGATGTCCTAATTCGATTAATATCACCATTTGCCTTTTCGGGAGTGTTTTCTTTAACATTATTGTTGACCACCGTCTTAACTATGTTACTGTTGGTCTGTGATATAATTCGTGACTTGTATCCTTCTATAGCGCCCTCGTATGTATATTCTTCGGGTTCGGGCGAACTAATGGTCATAGTTGTACACGTATCGTATTCGTTTGCACTGGAACCTAATTTACGATTGTTATCGCAATTTGATATGGTTTCCACGTCTGAATGGTTTTTATCCAAGTCCATACCATCGCTCTAGAAAACCAAATACATAATGTCATTCTAAAAGATCGATAGCTTTAATTGAAACAAATAAAACTTTGATATTGTTGTTTACTCACGGCCAAACTATGTGTATCGCAGTCTTCACTCAAACTGCTCTTGGTACTAGAGGTGCCGATGCCCAAGTCACTTAAATCATGTCCATCGTCCTCTGTATACAATGCTAGAGGGTTTCTCCTTCTACGTCCGGCTCTGAAATAAAATATTTATGTTATAATTATTATATCAACTATAAAACTTCCATTTATGGCTGTTATTTAATATTTATTGCATTAACAAATCAGAACAAAACAAACGCCATGATGCAACTTTTTATTAACTGTTACTTAAGAGCCCGCAAGTCTGCTATGTCGGCTAAACAAAGAAGTGGAGGTAACGATTTCCTAGTCTTTATTAGAGCGAGATTTCCTTCTACGGCTGATCCGACCCCAGCGCAATGCATTATTGATAGATTGCCAACTAAGAGTGTTGACGGCTCCTAAAATTCATTCGCCAGAGAGACGTGTGTCACTTAGGATATTTTTTTAATGTTCATCGCATTGACAAGAAACGAATAAAGTATCGATGTTTTGTGACCGTTTCTTGTGCTAATTCTTATTTATTCGCATTCAGGTATAAATATTATAAATGGTCTTGAAATTTATACGACATTTTAAAACGACAGAGTATTGACATTAACTTTGTACACTTCTCGCTTGATTCCGCGTTAAAGAATTAAAATATTTTGTCAAAACGATAAGTACTTAACCTGACAATATATTGACATTAATGCGGCTTACAAATAAAAACCACGAACACAAAATGTTTTATATAGAAGACTCAATATAACTATATATAACGTATGTGTAATATGTACATTGTAGAATATATTTTTCCGGAACACTTGGTATTATCTTTAAATAAATTGGGATTGTGTCATGTTTGCGTCATTTACCTAAGCTTCCTCACCTATGTTTGTTTGTTAGTCACAGGCGAGTCACAAGTATTTTTATCTCTGGAACTAAACGCGAAAATAAGTAGAACTTCGAAGAAATGGACCTACCATTTGAAATAAATTTCTGATTAAAAATATTATATACAGTTTATCAGGGAGAAACAATGATCTCGATGGAGCTGTCATCATAGTACATAAAAGAGGTTTCATAATTTAAGATCATATATGAATTATTAAACGTAGAAACGTTATATAGAAAATATAAACAATTTTGATATAAAACATAACTTCAGACGGAAACACCAAATTAAAAAATTATGTCTCATATATTACTTAACAATAGAAAATTTTAATAAAATACAAATAAAACACATATTATTTGCACGTCACAAAATAATTTGACGCTTTCTAATTAATTTCCTCTTACAATATATACAGGTGTATTTGAATTTTTAATATGTATAAAACTGGACAGCGGCCCGACGAGTTGTTTCAAGGCGAATGTCAATCAATGACTCGCTGAGATAAATCTTACGGAACATGTTGTAATTGATTGGAAGTTGTTTATTTTGCATACATCACAGTTATTAGAGGATTGTGAAAAATATACTAATATGATTTCATCATATATATAAAAATAATATTGATATTCATTCTACATACAGTGTAAAGTAATTTGTTTGGTTTAAAACGTAAAAAAATGGAAACTCAAATTACCATTGTTCATGTTCATAATATATGACAACAATTAACATCTGATGAAGCCTTTCATTGTGTTGGTAAAAAATTAGTATAATTACAACATTTTCGTTAATTCGTCACTAGTAACTTAAAGACGATGTTATACACTAACGAAGCATAACTTTTTTAAATATATTTCCAAAAGGTCAGCCTGAGGGTCAATGGTTCAGTGTCGTACATAACCATCCATGTTATACCAATGTCAAAAGAAAAGTGAAAATTTCAGACTCGTTTGTGACTTTCGCCGTCACACTTTTGGATATTTGAATAGAAAGCTAATACTCCGTTTATGATGTCTGCGATAATACCTTTCAATACACCACGTCTGCACTGCTTACTGCTAGTGTGACGTTACGACGAATGACAACACGTCTATCCGGACTCAAACTTAGTCTCTTACATACAAAAATATTAATTCGGCCGCCTGCCTGACATCAACCCTCTTCTGGGAATCAGCATTTGTATCATTATATAAGTTATATCATTTTAATGGCAAATTATTTCTGTCAGCACGCCGCGCCGTCCCAAACGAATTCTCATCACGGAATTTTGCGTGGTTTAAGAGAGTTGTATAAGAGGAAATCATCTCATAAACTATAATTTACAACTAATAACGCGATTACATCATTGTGTAATATATAAATAGTTCTTTGTTTGAAACTCTCATCTCACATACAAATACAAACAAGCTATATATTTTCTGCACAGCGTTTTGCATACAAGATTGAATTGGATATATGAAGTGGAACTGTTAAGAGGAATTACGAAGGTATCCACCATGGGAATACAACGAACGTGCGAGCAATTTGTCCGGGAATGGACCCTGGATCACGGCCTGTAGGTCGTGGAGCACGAATCAATTTGCTGTCGGTACAGAGGGTAGAACAAAGAATTGATTTGGAAGTTGTAAATAGCGCTATTATCTCCACTTAAGATAATATTATATACAGTGGTTCTCAGGTTGTAAGAAAATGGAATGTAAAAATGCTAGAATAAAAAGTAGGTAGAAATATATAATAATGCAAAATTATATAGTTAAAAGAAATTTAATAACTATTGTACCTAGAATAACACTAAAATTTATATTTCAAATATATAAAATAGTAGCGATGATAAGTAAATCAAGCAAGCCGCTACAGTCATTGACAGGTGATGATGTGAATTCTTATATCATTATGATTTACTTTATTATAATATGCCTTTTATATTAATTAAATTATTTATACTACATATGCTTTTTAAATAACCAAATAACTAAGGAACTCATGTTAAATATATAGCTCGATGATATACATATTTTTATTTTATTTAAAACACTATATCGATGAAACGTATTGGTAATTTTGTTGGAATTTTTACTTCATACAGATTTTTCTTTACTAATAATCTTCAGCAATTTTTATCAGAGTCGAGAGATCATTAAAGAATTCTGCAAATTTATATGAAGAAAGTCCATATCTCACTTTAGAAATAACATTTTTATTTATGTCTCACTATGGTAACTGGGAGATGATAGGATATATTACTAAGCGGAAACACTGTTTGCTAACTATACTATAGAATTGATTTATGGCAACTCGTTTAACGACATTCATACAACCATTGTCTCATAATGAACCGTATCCCATTATAAATAGGGTACAGTATTGATGGATCACTTATAAATAGACTAGGGTGGACGTGACAAAACCTTACTTCAAGTACTCGGAATATGTCTGGATTATCACTCTCAAAGGGAGTATTGGAAATTTTAATTAAATAAATTATACTTTATGACTCAGTGGGTAAATGAAGTTACAATAAACAGAAACACAACTGTTGTAAAACAAATGACATTGTTTAGGGATTTTGCTATTGTAATTTCTATTTCGTAGTTATTACAAAAGGTCTATTAGAGAAATTCTTATTTAAATTTTTTGGAGACGACTTCATTTATTACTTATTAGTCGTTATTTTTCAAAATCTACCCATACAACAATTCTATGTAAGTCTCTGTCACAGCACGTATTGTACCAGGGTAGCATTCGCTGTAACCCAAGTCAACATAACGGTACAGAGTTACGTCGTTTTCCATGTAATGGCTGACAAAAAGGCGCACATCTATTTCTGGTGTAAGATTTCAAACCACTTCCATATAACCGCAGGCTTGGGAAGACACTGCTCTTTTTATTCACAGGTCTCCGATGGAATTGTTGAGCTGATTTCACACCTGCACTCGTGATCTCTATCTGACTATGAATTTGCAATGCCTGTTCGTATGTTGATATATTAGATCAAACATATATGTAGTCTTATTTTTTCAGTAGATTTATGAACAACAAAATACGTTATAAAATTGAAATATGTCCAATTAAATGACATACTACTTTTATAATTATATTATATAGGGCATTTTTCAGATTCCGAAATTCGAAAATAAATATATCTTCTAAACGTCTAATCAAAATCTCAACGAATGACCACAATAGAATCATGTCACAATAAAAACGTACATTTGAGAGTAACGTGTTGCGTAACGCTGTGTCGTGAGAGACAGGTTGACACGCGACACTCGCGTTCAGTGTAACACACACCTCAGACACACATGACGTACTCTCATACACACACACACACACACACACACAGGTGGACATCAACTAATTGTAAGGAGACAGAGAAAATTCAAATCAAATCAAAACAAGCTTAGAAGATTCATCTTCAACTGTTTGTACTATTAATTAAATATAACTGCTCCAATTATATCAAATAATTGAAATTTGTATATTGGTATTTAAGTAAAAATATTTTTTACATATTATTTAGATGATTTTAGTTAAACTTGGTACTAATTTAAGCAAATACATAAATGTATAGTCTGAAGTGTGTAAATAGCAAGGTTTATAGAGCAGGAATTAAATTTTTATTTTATTACAATTATATAATAATATATTCAAGAATCATTTGAAGTGTTAAAAATATCATCATATATTATGATAATATATTTAAAACTAAACGTCTCAATACAAATGATAATTATTTCCCTTAAATAGAACAAAATGGTAATTCAAGGGAACAGTAATTAAGGTAAGAAGTAACTTCATGTCAGTAAACACAATGATTACCATCGTAATATTCTAAGAATACACTCGTAATAAATAGTACGAGACACTCGGGAATGGACGTTCGAACAAAAAGTATTTAATAACAGACATTTGTTAAACACAAACACTTGTAGATCATATAATTATAAGGTTATTGGTGAAAATAAGTCTAGCTCACATCATTACGAGTCTACTCCCACTCAGAAACTGACCGACCTTTAAAGATTTCATGAAACATATCTGAAAATGTCAAACAAGAGAAGTCTGTTACGTCATGATTCACTTAAAGACCTTTCTAGAAGTATTGACAAAATTATCAACAACACGAAAACGGCATTGCAACTTTCTATACCCAAGAGTTTCTGTTGCAATTGTATCGTGAGAAATTTAGATCGTAATTATTATATTTGGACTTAATTATGTTAATTGAAGTTTCCGTCTAATGACGTTTGTATAGTGATGTTATCATATTACAAATTAAGAGAGGACGGAAAATTGTTTATCTATTTATTCTTTTAGGGGTCTCCCAAATATAAATGTTTGCGCTCGTTATTTTGTGCGGATTATATTCGTAAATTGAAGAACTTTGGTAATGATGGATAAATTATTCAAAGGAAATTTTGTTTTTTCTTATATAGAAATGATTATAGTATAATGAAAACATGAAAACATAATTACAAAACAAATTTTATGACTATGCACGGTATTACAAATTGAATTGTGTTCTCTATGAAAATAAACTAAAATGGTCTTCGAAAGAATCGCATACTCTCAAATTATATCACATAACAAATATTTTTTTCTTTCACAGGATTTATGGAGTTCACGTACTCAACGCCATAGTTACACAATGTTTGAGATAACAGAAACATAATACCATTGAATTCTGTGCGCTTACCACAAAGCTGCACTACATACGAATCGTCACCGTTTCTCATTCAATAAGATACGTTAATACTATAATGCTACAAGAATTATGAATGACAAACTATTAACGCTACGTATCTAGTTTCGCGATACTCGTGGTAAGCAGTGTTCTTGATGTATACTTCCACGAACATCTCGACACTATTACATTAGTTGTGTGTGAAATACTCCAAGCTGATAATAATTATACATAAAATTCAAAATGCTCTCAAATTATAGGTTGTTAGTTTTTAATTCAAGTCAAATAGTAATTGTCGATTAATTCCTGTTAGTTGTGAAACGAGAACGGCTATTAGCGTATTTCACATGTATCCGCTTTAGAGGCGGCGTTGACTCAAGGAAAGTGACATTGTAATTATTGTTGACATAGAAAGTTAAGGCGGAAGACACGTTATCAGTTACCCTCAGTTCCTGAACAGGGCGGTGTCAAAATAATATATAATTTCTTTTATTACAAGCCCTATATAGTATTTCGATAAATGTTTTGCTAATCTTACGAGTGTGGCCTATAATTTAGTTCGTATATTGATTCTCTTGTAATGTATTTAGAACTTAGTTTACAATCTAATCATAGAATATAGTCATCTCGTCGAAATATGGATGTCCTAAAAGCTTTACGTGTCGACAGAACTCATTATACTGCGTAGTATGAAGGAATTTTATTTAAATAAAACAAATTTGACGTTATAACAGTTATTACAAGGCACATAAGGCTTCTGTAAATGTAATATTGCGAAAGTCATCGACTTTAGTATTACAGATTTATTACGGTAAGACATTACAGTGTTCGTAGAAACACTTTGCCTGTAACTAATCCCTGATGTCGCAACTGGCGTAAATCATAATGACGCACTCCTTTGTATCGGATGCATTGTATTAGATATAATAATTATATACCAATATGTTTTTTATTTATATATATAAAACTAGATTCTCAAGGAAATATTTGTTTGTTTCCTCAAAATTTTAATTAAAGTGATTAACCTTTGGTAATGTCTTAATGATCTCATTCATTATGTAATATGTTTAATAATTTATCAATTATCAGTTCTTACTTCCAACAAACTTCTTGTTTCATATGTACGAGTTTATTTTAACAGTATTTTAGTGGAAAATCAAGACGTTATTATAAACTGTGAAATATTAATGTATATCAAGTAATATAATACTTCCAATATTTAATGCCAATGTTATAATGACAATTGACATATAATGTTTCTCATTACCTCATGTACACATGACCTGAGGCGGGACGGGTTAAACGTTAAACGAATATAGGATTAGTCTGAAGATGTACTGGAACTAACTTCATATAATAATGATTGTTAAAACAATATACATACATGAAGGAGACTAAAGAATACGTAAACAGAAGTACTTTATACTGAGATTCATAGCTAATACTTATTTAGATGTGCCTTCGAGTAGGAGATTACGCGATCATTTGAAAATATTGTTGAACACTTCAAATATACATATTAATCCTACTAATATTATAATTGCAAAAGTTTGTGAGTGTGTGTATGTTTGTTACTTCTTCACGCTCAAACGGCTGAACTGATTTTGATAAAAAAAATTACAGGAAGCTGACGTCCAGGAATAACACATAGGCTACTTTATATCCCGGAAATCCGCAGGTAACACCGCGGGGCGCAGCTAGTAGTTGTATAAATACATGTATTTTAAAAGAATTGAGGATCTCCCAGGACTTCTCTTAAGGAGTCTTATTCAGGCTTTATGGAAAACTAAGAGTGTCCTATCCAGCATCCGTAAAACGAGATTTGACCCAGTTGTGGCTGACAGATGAGTGAGACGACGTCGCGTGTTGCGGTCTGTGAGAGTCCTCGTTCGAGGGCAAAGACCCTTCTTCTAATCTTGATAGAGTAGATTTGGACGCACGTATAAAACTATCATTGTATACCTGACACTCGAATACAAAAATCTTTTGTAACCTAAATTTATTATACGAAGAAGTAAGTATGTTTGTTTCTTGTCATAGCATAGTGAATGTGCGAATTTTACGTAAAAAGATAATATACATATATATATGAAATACAGATCAGAATAGCACCGATACACATTTAAAACCGAATTAAATTAAGAAATGTAGTGTGATTAAAATCTTATTTCCGGACTTATATTAAGGATATTGGATTTTTTTTCGTTTTTTAACATTTCAAATCTTCAAACAGTCATAATACTCTCTAATATACATATAAATATATATGTATTAATGAATCCATGTATACTACAAGTTGTGTTCTGTACGTCCGTTAAGTCGCTTGTAGTAACTGTTGTTGAACATCGATGAAGCCAATCATTATTAGTGACACACTTACATAATCTTTCATAACAGTTAATTGCATACATTTTTTTCATAACGTAATATGATTGTAAGAGGTCGCAGTTATTTTGATTTGATACAATTGAACATGACCGTTTGATCTTTAATAAGAAACTTCGATGTCTTATGCGTGTAGACATATACCCTATAAATCGTACATTGGGTATCATATTTTAGATTAACTAGTAACTGAACTAGGTAATATTATGAAATACTTTATATAAAACGAATGAATCACTACTGATGTATTTATTATTCCTATCACTTTTTATTCAAAGAAAAGGACTTAATTAATTTCGACGTTGTTAATTTTCGTAACTCATACAACAAGAATTGGAATTTAATGAATTCTTTAAAAGCTTCTACTTCACAAGACTTGACATACATTAGATTAAAATTGTTATTTTTAATTTGTATCACGGTGGTTCTTATTTTCGTTCATCATATAGTGTGATAACTTGTTTTATAAAATGTGGATGTTTATTTAGTTTCCATGACATGAATTTCATTAAATCTTCGTACATAAATCATAACAAAATACCTCATATTATAAACAAATGTAATGCAAGGAGATTAGTTATCAAAGTAGTATATAATATTACTATGAACATTACGAGAGCGACATTAAACATAGTACTACTTAGTATTTCAACAGCCATTTAAAGTTGAAGTCACACACGTCGCGAGCAAATTAGTCAAAAACAATAAGGAACCATTGAACCTGTCACAGTTCAACGCCAGTTTAATCGCATTAGCGCCATTATGTATCGGTTAATTCAATTAACACGAATTAACTTTCACTATAAATTATTATGAACATTTTATGTCAAATGAAGATTTGGCAACGTTTTGTATTATAGTGTTTTAATGACGCCGGTTGCATAACACGTTTCACTCGTTACACGAGATGAATTTTAATAAAATTTAAAGTTTTAATTTTGTTATTCGATTAACTCGTACGCTTCACTACAAAAGGTCCCGAAATCTGTTTGAAAATGGCCTTATTGTAACTACAGAATGGTTATGTAGAGCAACAGCTGCGTGTGCGCATGTAACCCGATCAGTCGTCGTGCGGCCACCGGCTGCGACGGACGTATGTAACTCACACCGGACTAGTCGCTCGTGACGGTGGAAAGTTGATTTCCTTTAGGGAAATTTTAATTTACTCATACGAGATTACGTTACGCGTTTCACTGCGATCTCTTGATCTTTAAGAGTTTAAAGGTTGTCTCATTAAGATTTTCCCTTTTAAATTTCAAATAATAACTTTTCCGAATACTAAAGTCATGATTTTCCGTAGCTAATGGTTTAATTTATTTGCAAGGTTTCTCGGTATTGAAGATATAATTTTGCAATATTACAAAAACGTTTGTGTAAGATAACCGTTGCAAATAATGTTTGTATAGGGGCTAACAAAAACGATACAAATTACAGCAAGTTAGGAACATGGTCCATCTCTGATAGGATGTAGTAATAGGCTTGCACAAAATGATTTATCATCGTCGAATTATCACGAACCCATCCACGTGATGTCAGAACTTTTGATCAATTAAGGACGCTTCGTCTCGATTAGGTAATATCAGAATATTGAAGCAATTTATTAGAGTAATTTATTTGAAGGATTTTAGAACATAAATTGTGGGCTTAAATATCGTATGTAAAGGTTGTTCTGAGGTAATCACATTTTGTTTCTTCCCATAAATCAGACAATTATAACAGTTACAAAGGTTTCGATTATTCGAATGCCTTCAGATTTCTATTCCTAATCTTGGTTAAAGAAGCAATAATTTGAAATTTGTCATAATTTTTACGAGACATGTTACAAAGGTATTATTGTATTTTTCTGCAACAACCTGGAAGTAAGAAAAAGAAGTGTTCACTAACCGTTCTTCCAGCATTTCGTTGAAGGTCTTGGACTTGCCACGCGGCTGGATCTCGTTTTCAAAGCGGCGTACTTCAACACAACGCTCTATGATGTGCTCCACCCGCTTCCGTCGCGAGGACTTCCAATTGTCGAGGTTCTGGAATGTAGGAACGACTTGGTTAGGCTTCAATAGGAGTGGTGTATAAATATAAATACATTCAGAAGTACAAACTAGCTTTAAGATCAGAAACTTTAATTGTAATACTTCGCATAGCAATCGTGAAATAACGAACTAAAAACCAGTGGTACTTTTATAAATTCATAATTGGAAAACTTAGATATGGACATGAAGAGTTCATGCTTAGAATATTATGATTATATAATAAAATGTCAACCGATTCAGTTACTACATATTTTATGGTTTAATGATAGAATAGAACTAAGGTATTCGTTCTGTAGTATAAAAAGTCAATCATGCAGGAATGTCACCTGGGACAACTGCAATCAATTAACAGACATTGATGTGTTGAAAACGCTCTATAAACGCTCTTATTATAACTATTTGCAGTCATTTCTCGACTAAGAATGCTCGTTGTATAAGCATCGCGTGCCTCGTTTTTGTTGAAATTCGTCTTTCAATAGATGGTTATTGCTGTGAGTGGACGAGATCCGGTGTTGGGGCCGGTGTTTGTTCCGACCGCATGACAATACTTAATGCGTCCGGTGAATATTTATCTAATACTTACTGCCATAAACAGGCAAACTATGTTTAGTCTCTGGTAACGACGTTTTAAATGTTAACGCTTACTTCAGATGTATATTTATACACTTTGGTCTTTGTTAATAATCGTTATGAAAAGGAAAAAATAAGGAAACTACTAACGATTATAACATTAATTGCCGTCAGTAAAATATTTTAAATAACTATTAAGCTTCAGTGATGAGTGACCTTAATTAGAAAAGGTAGGCAACATGCCTTAATATTTGACCTAAGCTTCAAGTAACAAATACGCGTGGTCAACTGTACAAGGTTTTTACGGAAAGTAAGCAACTGGGTTAATATCTTTTTGTAGATTAAGAATCATTAAAAACAGCAAAAATTGTCTATAACTATTTTAAATTTATTTGAGACAAAAACAAAAAAGAAACGGTAGGAAAAATATAAATTATTATTACCAAACTTATGGTCATACTGAAACGTTTCTGAGAATGTTCCCGAATTTGCAAGAGCATGATGTAAATTGTCAGAAATAGTGATTACAGAGTCCGTCGATTCGGCTTTATTTATTGGCGAGATGTTTACATTCGGAGGAAAACAGTTTACTGACCATAAACCATCCGAACAAAGGTTGTTGTTGTTCTTGAAAAACGAACGCATTTAACGGAATAACAATCATTTATAAATTTTGCTTGTAAGTACGCTTCTAGACCAATTATCGACAATTAACGAAGCTCTTTGATGGGGCAACGCTCTGTTTAAATGTTCCCAATACACCGAGCTCGTAGCTCGAAACTAAACAGACTATTGAATTTATTGTTCCCAAACGAGAATTAAGGTATCTATTTCAGGTATTTCTGTTACCTTCTAAGATTTATTTTAGTAATAACAGTTATTTGGTAGACGAGGCATAGACTAGAATTATCTTAACGACTGAGAGGCGATATTGAACGTTGTTTGTATAAACATAAAGTTATTTCTGGCTTGGATCATGAGGAATTAAGTTACCTGTATTGTAAACGTTTTTAGCGCTCCTATAAACATATCCCGGATTCCCTTGACGGAAATATACGTCGTAGAAGCGGCGCCGGCTCCGGAATGCAATGTGTTTCCGTTCACTCACATCACTATTTGTTGATTCGCGTCGAAAAAAGTAAAAAAATCAAGCTCAAATTGTACGTAATTTAATTAATGCGATTCATCCGGCCTTTGAGATTTTTTTCAAGATTGATTTTTAAGTTTTAAGCATCTCGCTGGTACTTAAAGTTTAAGTAATAATTGTTTTTGTTGCATCAAGACGAGAGGAGGCTTTGGGAAGTTGATGTCGATTATACTAATGAATACGTATGTTTTTTGAAAAATAAAATTTGCTCAATATGTTATTTCTGATTTTTGTTTCGAAAAAGTGTTTCTCTACTATCCTGAGAGAAGAATGTTTTGTATTTAAATACAAAACTATTTTAAAATAGCTTTGTTTTGCAACAATTTAAATTATGGGATTCAGCAATATTTTAAGGTACTACATTGAATACCTTTCATTTAACTAAACATTTATATTTAAATATGTTAAAAATTAAGCGACATTAATTACGTTTGTGTCAAATAAGTATTATTTTCCACAATTTAACTGAGTTTAATAATTCACATGCAAACCGTCCCTCGCTTCCCCTGCCCTGTCAACGTTGTTAACTACAAGTTTCTGTAATAAAAACAAAACAAACCTAACGCAATTACATGTATGGTATTAACTTCCTTTACAGCTGTCGCTCTGGCTCGTACAAAGAATTACTATCAAAAGCTTACAACACCGGTGTGAGCTCGTTTTTAATTTTAACAATCATAATTTTCATACGTTCAGGCATTACAGTGCCACAATCATAATACTAAGCCCCTTATCGGTTTAAGGTAAGGTAAGCTGGAACACTCAAGGATTATTCTCTAAGCTACATCAGGATCCTAAAATAATTTGCAGGGAGACGATAATATAAAAAATATATAGCTGTCTAGTTTCTTACCGATTGCCAGTCTTCCTGTCGCTCGATCCTGGCTGGTTCTGTCTTCTTGGCTAGTTCAGCGCGCCGTAGTTGTTCCCTGGCCTTATTGCCGAGGTCTGCTGGACCTACTTTAACAAACTGCAGAGGATTGGCCGCTGGTTTCCCGGGCAGCACAGACGCTGTGTGTGGACGAGTAGCAAGGAAGTCGGCACTGTCTGATGTCTGCGAACAACAAAATAACTCAATAATTAGACTGTACTTTTATGTAATCATTTTGACATCTTTGTGATATATTTTCAGTTAGTATTTTCTAGTGCTTCTTTTTAATTTCAACATAAATATTAAACCGTCAATAAAAATATTAATAATTTTCAGTTTTTACAAGTTACGTAATATAAGTATAATTAAATATTAAAGACATTTTTTAATGTGAAATAAACACCAATAGGAACATTAAGCGATTGCTTTTGAATCATAATTGTAATGATACATTAGAATATAACACTAGTATTGTTTATGTAATTCATTGTTGAATTATATAACAAAACGAAGTTAAAATAATAAAATTTAAAACAACAAGAAGCACATGGCTTCAGTTTTACAAACGCACAAGAGAAAATCGTCGTGAGTGCATCATAGAATATAATTGATGTTTTAATGTTTTCTTAGAAGTTAGTTTATGTTGTGAAATCGTGTAAGTTATATAATGAGTTTTTACTTTTGTTTGAGCTGGCTGTAATAATACTTAATGACGTCAGCTACATGATTTTAACGGGCAAAATACTCCCATCATGACTTAACATAGCATTTCTTGGTTCAGACATTGTTTTCATAGAATGAAACTTTTGATTATTGTATCGGAGTATTAGCAAACTGTGATAGTTTTCGTCAACCGTGCCTGACTGATAGTAAGGGTGATGACATAAAAATACGTCCCACGTACAAAGATCACGATGCGTTTATATTTGTACTGCAGTCTGTTGCGTTCTAAATATCTGTTGTATATTTAGAATCGGTTCACTCTTCACCCTCGTCACTCGCGCTTATTTTAAACTCCATGTATCTCCAGTTGTAACCCAATTTCGTATCCCAAAACCTAATTCGGTTATAATTCTATTAAAACATTCGCATGAGTTATTTCTAATGGAACTCCCGTAGCGTTTAACGCGAGTTCTCTACTCGAGTGGCGACAAGTCACTGACTTTCGCGCTTTTCACGCGGGGAAAGTAAAACAGTATCAATTAATTCCGATTTATATTAAACGCGAACTTTACCGGTAACAATTGATAGTTACGTCTCAGCTATGCCCTGGGAATCATTTATGTAATTTAGATGCTATTCGAAAGTTATACTTAATTGTTCACTACGTCCTAACCTATCGCTTTGTTTCTAAATTAAGAGCTGGCCATACCAAAGTATCCCGGTTCTTTATAAAATAAAGTATAATTTCCACTTCTTATATATTCACTTCTATGAAAATTTTTTCATCAATAGCGTGTTGCTTAAGCGTGAAACCGACTTATATGTATAGTAAAAAGTGTACTACTGGTATTAGAGGAAGAACTTATTCACTTATACAGGGTGACTGGTGAATTACTATCGATATTTGAGGACGTGATATTTGACGATCATAATATATGACAAAATAAAAATTAATATAACATAAATATTAATAAACCTCTAAGTAAAGTTAACCAAAAGTTATGTAATTAATTACGCATCGTGTAAACACCCTACAGATTAGGTATACACTCACACTCACACATACGCGTGTCGTGACGTGGTATTGTATCAGCACGCCCCCGCACGCGTCCACACTTGAACACTTGGAACGTGTCAACACTTTATTTATTTATACGGAAATTTTGTCAAAAATTAAGTGCCAATTTTTTTTACATAATTCGAATGAGAATCATGTACTGAGTATTCTCCTTAAATATTGATAGTAATTCACCAGTCACCCTGTATAACTTAAAAAAAATTAATCACATATAATTTTTGGAATAAACAAAAATTTTCGCTCTGTAATCAATGATGACGGTGGTTTTAAATTTAACTGTTTAATAAAATAGATGCAGATCAATCGAAATAAAACGAGTTAATATATAAGGGGAATTCCGAGAATCTTCGTTTGATTAATTCCGACAATAAGATGCAATGGACACAGACCGTGAGATGAAAGATGTTATTAGAGAAAACAAACGAGACGGATGGATCAATGACGTATTGTTTAAAATATAATTACTAATTATTATTTGGTATAACATCAATATTATTTGAGACACGATCAAATTGTATGAAGAACTAATACAAAACGGATTACTACGACGATCAATTCAAAGTTTAATTATAAATAATAGTTGCACAATATTATAACGTGTGGTATTAAATTAAAAACTGACCTCACCTTCTGTATAACGTCTAGGTTTGTGTGTTGTATTGTTTGAAGGCTGAACAGTAACTGATCAAGTGAACAGTCGGCAGCGGACTGAACTGATGATCATGGATCATCGGGTTACGACGACGCTTTCACCCGGAGACGTGACAATTATTACAATTTAACAACAATTCCCATGTGTAACGATACTAACATGACACCTTAAGGCGAATATTCGTCTACTTATTTACGAAATAAAGAGCCGGTAAATATCAATATGTACCTATACTAGTAACGGTTTATGCAAAATTTTATACTTTAAGAATTATTTAATACCTCATTTTTATTGTTTTAGATTAAATACAAACATTCAAATCAGAATGTGCGATTTAGTTTGGAATATTAGGAAAATTACTTTAAAACATAATCAAATATTCTATTATATGAAACAAAATTATTATAAAAAAACGTGTTATAATGTAAAATTTAGAGGTGAGGGTACTATGTAATATGTAATGGTGATGAGAACGAACTGCCCCTTAAGTGTGATAAGTATTACCGCATTCAGTAAGTACAGCGGCGTATGTAATGAAACGCGATCGACATTATAATTACATGTATTGAATATGGTAATTAATTATTAACGTATTCCTACAGACAGCGGCGCTCAAACAATAGACAGTTATTATTGAAAGTTATAAGGAGGAACTGTACTGTTTACTAAACAGTTCAATATACAAAGAATCTCGTTAAATGATCGATGAGACAGTCGAAATTGCTCTATTTGTAACTAATCAAAAGGGATGGAGTAATAGTTATATAAAATTGATTGGATGTTGGTGAGTTTTTGTTTTCGGAACATTTCGCCATGTCCGTTACCGTTAAACAAGGTATGATGCAAACTATAAAATGAGATGACTCAATGTTACTGATGCTGGTTCGCCCACTGCTCTCTTATGACGCTGAGATGACCACTTAAGACACTGGTCATGGTCATGTGGTCATACGGTCTTCTGGTCAAATGCAAGCATAGATTCTGGTTGTATTCAAGTTAAAGAAATTAATAAAAAATCCTTGATTCTTGGTTTTGGATCGCATATATCCCTACTAATATTATAAATGCGAAAGTAACTCTGTCTGTCTGTCTGTTACGCTTTCACGCCTAAACCACTGAATTGATTGTAATGAAATTTGCTACACAGGTAGAGTAGACCTTAAGAAAGAACATAGGATAGTTTTTATCCCAGACTTTTGACAAGTTCTCTTGGAAACGCGATATAACCGAACTCCACGCGGGCGAAGCTGTTTGTTTTAATATGTATATGTGTCATCAACCTGTAAGACAGTAACAAAACTTTAATTAAGAATTTGTTTGAAGAAAGTAAATCAAACAATAATATTTACAGAGTATGAACCCGTTTAAAAATATTATATTGTATTACCTAGTTATTGTTATGAGTGTTTGCTTGTCACACTGTTATCTCCTTATCTCTTAAAACCTAGTATTAGTTTATCGTTCGTTTAAACAATAATATCTAGACTTGATTTAGGTTTACAGGTACCTAGATAAACCTAGGAAATATTTACACGGCTGATAGTGTTCATGAGAAGAGAAATAGTTATTGTAAAGTTAAAGGCGTGGAAATTATAAAAATGAATGACAAAAATTGTATAAAGACATTTTTTTTAAAGTAAATAAATTTAAAGGTATTCTACTTTTGACTGAGATTTTTTGAATATAAGCTAATGTACAGAATTTGTAGTTGTTAAATTTTATTTAAAAAGTAGAAGTAGGGATACGAAATAATTCATTAATTTGAGTGGCAATTTCTTATTTGAAATAACAATAATAAAGTTTAACTTTTTTCAGCTTTCCAGGGCGTTACGTCTTACTTTTCAAGTTAGTCAATAGGACATAACCTGGGACCTTAATATTTTCTCACTATCGCTGGGAAGATTTCTTATCGGGAAGAAACAATGGAAGACGTTGACCGATACGAGAGGTCAACGACCGCACCCACACACCCAAATAGGCTTTACGACTTGCACACACATAAAATGCACTTACTTCAGCTCACTTTATTACTAAATTCCATATTCACATATCAAGTTTATATTTGTTTAGCATAAAACAAAGCCATAAAGGATACCTATGATGACTCTCCGATAAATCGTAACATCACCATCAAAGGTTTTATTGATCCCAAATGACTTTCTTATCGTACACTCGTGTACAGTGATCATACTGTGAGAAACATCTCGCCTTTCTACACGAGGTGAAAAGTCCTCTCTAATAACTAGTGAGTTCATTAAATGTGTCACAGTTTAAAAAATAATAGTTGAACAATCAACGCACAGTCTATATATATAATTCATATCTAATGACCTAATCTAGATACAAGTTACCGTTCTCAAACTATGAAAGCTAATCCTTCATTGTATTTGTTTCAGTCGCGTGGAACTCAAAGATATCCAATTGCCCTCGTTATGAATTTGTATGGATTTATAACATTTGAATGAAAGGCATGGTGGTCGATATACTATTATTGAACTAGCTGCGCCCGCGACTCTGTCCGCGGAGAATTTATATTCATAGAATAAAAATAGAAGTAGTCAAGTTACTCCTTGACAATTCACAGGCATAACAAATTTATTTGTTTGTTATATCGTTTAAAAAGATAATCTACACCTGATATTTAGTTATTGCCCAAGTATCTACAGAAAATATTTTCATTTGGAAAACATAATAGTTAAAAATATGTCATGAAGTAAAACCATGAATAATTATGTTAGCGGCAACAGTTTAACGACCATTTTCGCAATCGTTACACGCAGAACTATTTAACAACTTGATTGAAATCAAGAAATAATCTCGCTCTCCTTATGAAATTGACATTGTTACAAATATATCTCCGTGATATACAGACAAACGGATTCACAGAAATAACAAGGTGTATATTATAAAGAAAAAGTTGTAATGCAACAAAATTAAATACGGTGTTAACGATTTATGGTAGCTTTACAAGTTTTGTTTCAAAATGAAACACATAAAGAAAACGCAGCGAGGTTATTATTGCGAAATACAAACTGTCGAATCATAATTTCACATTTATGTGCTATACATATTATATGCTTAACTTAGCTGGTTCTTGTACAGTCAGCGAAAAACTTCTACTTTTACGTATACAAGAAATTAAAACAGACTTTATTTGTAACTTCATAAAAATGAAATCAATGTTGAGTTTTAAAACATAAATAAG